TTTGGTGACACAATTTCACTTATTTTCCACTCACATATGAACCACTATTGTCTTGACGAAAGGTCAAATTGTCAAAATAAAAATGAAATTCAATAATTATAGCATTCTGTTTGATGTTTCGATAATTGATTAATATTATTAATTTTGCTATACTATTACAATTTTACAGCTCATTGAATCTACATGTAATTGATATTAAAATTCTGAAATTGTAATCATACCGGCTTAACAAGTTAATAAATATTCAAATGTCACTCAGTTTACTTGATAACTAATTATTTAAGCTTGTTGTTGAAATTCATTTTTCGTCGATGCCGTTAACATTTGTAATGTTAGTTTCTCTTCCCATTCAATCAGCAATTAATTACGTAACAATTAATTTCAAGTCACTATTTCTATAATCTTTAACTTGTTTTATTGAAAGAAAAAAACAGGAAGAATGAAATTTATTGCACCATTTAGTAGCCAACAGGTATGCATAGAACGTTTTTAAGAAGAAAAAAAAATTCAACAACAAATTAAGTAATAGTTACTGAAAAAACATTAAATTCATATAAAATTTGAGATTTCATTACTAAAGAAAACATTTGTTTTTTTTTTTTTCACTGTTCTTTTCATTAGTATTCTTAATCATATCTGCTAGCATGAAAATCCATTATTCATAATTCCCATCATTAAAAACTAAAGAGATATTCAGTAATTATTAATGTAAGCTTTGAATCAAATATTGGAAGTGAAGATTTGTATAAAATGATTTATCAAAAAATTGGAAATAATTATGGTTCAAATTTTGAAAATCATTGTTTCTTTTTTTTGAATACAGAACATTAATAGAGTTATGATTTGTGTAATAATTTGATTTATTTCGAAGTTAAATATTTTTTGAGAAATGATAGAAAAGATGAGTCAGAAAAAATCCCGCATAATACATTATTATAAAAAGTATAATAAAATGTTTGGTCAAGGATTATTGATCATGGAAAGAGATGCAATGGCTATTATTGATTTTACTAATTTAAATAGCTCGTATTGCGTTTCCAATTAAATTTACCCTTCGTGATGTTATAGAATTAATAAATATTTGAGAAAATATTATTTTTATCTCGTTGTGATTTGTAGTTATCAGTAAGAATTTATACGACATAATTTGCAAAAAGCTTTATGAACCGGAACTGATAAAGCTATTAAGCAACTTTTACTGAAACAAATACTAAACAGCAATTGAACATAAAGCAATAAAGAAAAGCTATACGTGTTATCGTCAAATGGAAAAGGATAAAATGGCGAATGTATGTGAAATCAAAATTGAAGAACAAAAATGGGACATGAAATCAGTGGTCAAACATGGACGCTTTTAAGCGAAAAGGGACGGTCAATTCTATATGTCTTTCTTCCGTTTCCATTTAGACGAAAGCAAATCAATTGCCCTTTTAACCTTTTATTTTTTAATTTCATCCCATAATCACACAGTAGCACTGTATAGTTTCATAAATTTATTCTTCAAATCTTTAATCTTTTTGTTTCGATCATTGTTTCGATTTTTATTTTCATAAATAAAATTTTTAATGCTTACAATACGGAATAAATTTCAAGCAATTCAAAATAATTGTTAATGAATTGAATGTACATGATAAATCAAATATCTTACAACGGAAGATTTTGATCTCCAAAATATGATTAAACTTGACATGGATTTAGATCATGTCTGGAATTTAACAAATAAATTCGTAATGTTGGATTAAAATTCATCAAGTGAACTCAAAATTTGCAAGTTTTTAAAATTTTTGTAAAAATATTGGATAAACAGCTAAAGATATTCAAGAAAATTTTAAATTTAAAATTTGATGCAGTATTTAATTTCATGTGGTGTAAATGAATAAGAACGTGTTGTTAATAATTTTCGAAACATCCAATTTTTCAACAACGAATGCTAATTTAGGCATTGTCAGGAACTGAAAATGTTACTTTAAAAATTTTCCAAATAGCTCATTTTTTTTAAATTTATTACTGGTATTATTTGTCTGAGAGCTATTGAAATCACACTAAAAGTTATTACATTTCATATCTTTGCATTGCTAAATATTAATAATAATAATAATGTGGAAAAAAATTCTGACTTAAAATCCCCTCTTTCTTTAAAGGAGTTATTGCAAAATGTAAAAATATGGTGTATAGTTATAGAACATTACTGGAAGACATTTTAGCTCATTATTTTTGAATTTTGGATAGTTTCTGATGAAATATGATAGTCATACTTGCTTTCTTATTTCCGTCACAAATCAAGAAAAAAAAGGGACCTTATAGCTATTAAAAGACAGATTAACTGATCTTAATTATTAATTCATCATCTAATATTAAGTTATTTATTCATTAATTAGCTTATTTCTATAATCGTTTCTGAATTTTTTCAACAGGAAAAACCCTTTCCGACATATGAATTGTATATTTTGATAAGTCGATAATTAATCAGCAATTTATCGGAGAACATTTCTTGTTTTGTTGATCGAACAAATAGTTAGCTAAATGATTAGTAAACTGGATGAAATAAAAATAGAGTGTGTAACCTTTATCGATCAATTCTATTCATGGAATGAAAAAGTTTGTATTAAATAATTGCTAGATCAAATAAAATACTATCGTATTCTATTTGCTCATTTCTTTATTAATTAACGGATTAATTTAACTAAACTTTTTGATTTATATGTAACACTTAAAAAAAAGATTCATTTACAGCCGTATTTTTTAGATTATATCGTAAAATTTTGATTGATATCTGAATATATTACAATGTCTTAAAAGAGAGAATAATTTGTTAAGATGAATGCGATTGCTTCAGTTGTGTCAATCTGAATTGAATCGTGTTATGTTTATTTCTATTAATGAGTCAGATATGTTAATGAATAGATGAGTATTCGAATTTGATGACGTATCATTTCTAAAACTATTTCCCGTCCCGTTTAAAACAATAATTGCCATTGTTTAAGAAACAATTCATTTCATAAATTCAATGATTGATGAAAATCAAAGAACTGGAATTTCAACATTAAATTTGCATAGATATGTAAATCGCTGAATGAGTACACGAATTTGATGACGTAGCACTTCTAAAAATATTTCTTCTTAATTTTAAACTTTGAGATAATAAGAAATTATTGGATTGGAACATTTTCCAAAAGATATATAACTATGTATTGATGCGTGATAAACGATAAGATAAAGTTTCATTAGACAATTGCATGACTGAACAAGTTTCGTTAATAATAATTGAGTTTTAAAGAAATACTGTTATTTTATTGAAATTTGAAATTCACAAATTTTAGGATGACTTTTTTTCAGTCATAAGGAATATATAAAAAGATGTAATCGTAATTGCAAGCAAATATTATTTTAAATTGATCAACATATCAAACGTTCAATATCATACCTACCACATTTTTTCTTGAATATGTGAAATTTCCATCATACTACATTAAAATATTGTTAATTACATAAGGAATTTGAAGTGAAAGTATTTCAAAGCAATTTTCCATATGTAATTAATCTGCATAAAAACTATTTGAAAATTTTTTAATTTCGTTTTAATTCCATAATCCTTTTTTCCTTGAAATCAACTCAATTTCTTAACTGATTCTGCAGAATAAGAAGGAAAATTAATGCATTCATTAAAATTTAGTAAAATCGCAAATATAACAACGTGAAAATTACACTGGCACTCTTTCGAATGCATGTAAACATACTATAATAAGCCTTCGTTATGGAATTAGAAGACTCTGTTGAAGCTTAATTATTGTCTGTTTTAAACGTATTTCAGGCATAAACCGGATTTCAGCTTAAAATGGAAAAGTCGATAATAATACCAAAAACAAATCGGAAGTAAAAATAAATTTGACGAAGAATCCTTTTTCATACCAAGCCAAAATTTAAAAAAAAAGAATGTTTTTGATAAATTGAATTACTCAGTATTCTCGGCAATGAGACGAAAGAAGGGATAAATCATATTATTCTGAAAGTAAAAAATTATGATTTTGTCAATAGTTTAAGAAAGATCAATTTTCTTCTTAAAACAATTTTAAGAGCCAGTAAAAAACGACATCGGACTTTAAAAAGTATATTTAACCATTGAAATTTCTCCGAACATATTTCCTGCGCCTACCCGTAGCCCTTCGATCAAAATAAGTCGAAGAGACATTAACTCAAAAACAAATGGAATTTTATTATTTTCTAACTTTTAGTCTCCTTTCAATTTTACTCTTTCCCTTGATGAGATGCAAATTTTAGTAAAGAACAATAATATAAATTATAAATATCATTTTAATGTCTATGAAATACAAAAATGAGAAAAAGTCATTAATTTGCAGAGTAATTGAAACAAAAGGATAAAACTCTTAAACGCGAAGGCACTATTTTTTTCTGACAGAGCTGAATAAAAGATTTCTAAACATAATGTTTCTATATAATTCCCATAATTTTCAAGAGTTATAAAAACATGCAAAATGAGTCAGATGGACGTAGCGTTGTAAATTCACCCTTGTGCACACACAAATTGAAGTCGACCGGGTACATGAACTTTTTAAAATATGAACTTTTTCTCATTAACTTCATTTGAAGGTAATTGATTTATTATCGACTGTTAATCAGTGGTCAATTCCCTTACTGCTTTATGAAATGCTTTCCTGAAAAACTCGATTACTGGGTAAAGAATCCAACAGGTCCGATATTCAGAATAATCCAATAAATTTGCTTGATTTAAAAACACAGTGAAACGATGAAATTACTTTATTTCCAAAAACTAGAGACAATGACTTCCCAAATGAAATTTAATTCCAAAATAACAATCCACAAACTTTAAAATAAAAGTTGTCGTCATAAATCTGGCAATAGCAGTGAGATAAATTCCATCATAAAAAATTAAATCTGACAACATGCATACATGCAAAAATACAGCATGTAGATAAATATAGTACTTTTCCTCACCATACCACAAATACATTCTTCAGTCGTTAATCTTCTGACTGAAAAAAATTCAAATACGTTAAACGTACAATTTTTGCCCTGAAGAGTAGAAATTTCTCACAATTTGACAAATCGCAGCTAATGTATAAAAACTCATTATTACTCGATTACAGTAAACGGCTACCGATTAAGGTAACCATTTGTCAGTTACAGCAAACAGCAACGTCTAAACGACGTTCATATTTCTGATTTGACTATTTATTTCAGTATGTTCTTCAAACAAATTAATGGTTCAATATAAGGATTAAAGAACTAACATAACACTAGCAATATGACTGCATCGCTGCCTCAGTCCGCAACTACAGTACCACTGCAATGAATCGAGATCATCACGATGTGTCGCCTCTACGACATGCGGTGAACCATCTCTTGCACGAACCGCGAAAGTCATTGGACTAACGAGACGTACATAAGCGCTGGAAAAAAATTCTTTAGAATATTCTTTTCACTATATAAAAGTTTTTAAGTTAACATTTTGAAAAATCAAACGGGCTATTACAAAGGAAAGGAAAACAATCCTCACTTTCTAGAATATGGCAAGCGCGAATCATCGGTATCGATAATAAACTCATAATTTGATCCAGCAGCATGTCCTTCCCAGAACAGAGAACTTCAATATAATACTGATTATAAAAAATCACAAATAAATTATAAAAGGACTAAATAAAACTAGTTCTTGCAGAAATATACTCAAATTTATTAAGATAACTGTACTCGAGGAAATTTAAAACAACATTACATGTGGATTAAAAACTTTTAATTACGAGATAGTTATAACAATCAATTATTAATAATAATTAAATCTGCTTACCTTGTAGAAGGTAAATCAATTTGGTTAGTAAAAGAACTAGTGTGATTTTGATACTCATTATCAAGACACGTCGATAATGTTGAACAATCATTTATTCCATCATGTGACAACCGTTTGTAAGAACGATTTGGACACATGCTGAATGCGGTCATAACAATATTTTCCATGGCTGGTGCATATGGTAATTTGGGTAACTGAACAGATGAAAATGAAACTTCAAAGATTTGAATTGCAAATAGCAAAATATGGAGATTTGAAATTAAATAACAAATCTTCTATCCATAATGAAATTAAAATCTGAAAACTCAATAAGATAACACCTTCAAATGACTCTGCTGAAAGCGCTCTCTGTAACATTTCTTCAATCGCCATGCACCTGATTGGTGTAACCCCGCAATAAATAATCTTCGGTATACATTTGACAATAAAAACACTGATATAATAATAGTATCAAGCAGAGCGTTGCTATCGCAGAGCTGTGAAACAAGCTGGAAAGAAAAAACTGAATATTAAAAGTATGAAATAAACATCTTCGTACTAATACGTTCTAAAAAGTAAAAAAGAATTTCATGATCTTTAGCTTATGATTATGATATAGTCCAAATACTTTTCAATGTAAGTGAAATATGGCTAGCTACCTTACTCAAACCTTTACATGGTCGCCATGTTATACCCTTGTCAGCATCTGGAACACCACAGTTCTTTAAATGCCAAATGGAACTCGTAAATTTAAAATCATTCCAAACATTATCAAAGTAACTGTACACATCTGGTCGCTCTGTATAACGTTTGCATGCACTTATTTTTCCCCACATCTATAAACATGTAGAAGAATTTTTGCTTTATATTTTTAAATTGAATTAAGGTTCATCTCATTTCTTTGGTTTTTCACCCATTTTAACAAACAAACAATTTAATGCCTTCTATCGAGAAAGTAAAATTAACTCTGTCTACACACTTACTTCGTCGAAAAGTTTCTCATAGGTACAGCTCATCAAAATATTCATATCACTGGCATATTCATTCAAATTAGCTCCTCCAAAAATGGTTTCAATATAACTGAGTTTGACTCTTTTGAAATCATCCCAGCATCGGATGTGTTCGGCAATCTAAAACTTACCATGATGAAAGTACAAAAAATACATTTAAATCCCTTTGGTACGTATCAAACCAACTTAAAAGTAAATAGCACAAAAGTCAGGAATAACTCACTAAACATTCAGCATGTGAACTATGTAAAATCAAAAAGAAAGATGAACCGGAAAAGCATCTGGGGTAAAACAAAGACTCTGGCCAGTGATAATCACAAAACGTCCATTAAGAAGTTCATTAAATCTTTCGTATAACGTTGATAAAAAACTGTCGTGATCATCACAATGATCCGGCGATGCAGTCGAGCTGACCATGAAAGCTATGGGTAATACTTGGTCACCTATAACAGAATTCATTTAGCTTTTCACAAATTTAAAAAACTACGTATATTTCAAAATATATGAATAATGATAAATATAACAAACCTGACCTTCAAAAAATGGATGCATAAACGCAAGCGTGGAAAGATGGTAATCAATAGTGACTGGTTCAGTATGGTAGAAAAGCTGAACAGTACGGAACGGAGTACCTTGTTGTAAATAACCTGATACAGCAATTAGCTGCTCTACCAACGGATAACAAAACAGATAAATCATACTCACACCAGAATCATCACACTCAATCCGTTCCACAAAGGTTTCCTCATTTTCATACTGCAATACAGGTGATATGAAATTAGTTACTGATATCTATATTGAATAAACTAAGAAAAGAATTATTATAAAAATGATTATAGTAAATAAACAAATAAATAACAGATAATAAATTTGATTCGCAAATATTCTGAAGGAATTATAATGCTTATTAGCAAGCTTTATTATAAGACTAAAAATTTATGTACCAATAGCTGCCGTTGAAGACCCTGAATATTGGACAACAAAGTTTGACGAAATTTGCTTCGCTCTTCTTCAGATGAATGTTCATTAAGCATAGGTAATGGTAACAAGTGTAACGAATGCAAATCCTCAACTCCTTGTTGTGCCTCACTGTATGCTAACATCGCCATTGGATCATTGTTGCGCATGCACTGAAAAAAAGTCAAATCCATCAATAATTATATTGCTGACAGTGCATAGAAAATAGCGACAATAAACTCTATTCAGATCAAATCAGTAAACTGAAGCAAATTTCCGTACGATCAATTCTTGATCAACATAAGTTTAGGCAAAAAAAATGCTGCTTTATTGCCATGTATTTAGCAAGAATGTGTAGAAACCAAAAAGCAATCGTGAAAGTCAGTTTGTTTTTCTCCCTGCATATTTCAGTTCAGAAATAATCCTTACTCTTGCTGAAACATCCGCCGCATGTTTTTCGTCACCAATGTAATGCATAACCATTATGCCATAATTTTCGCCTTTCAAAGAAAAACGGTACTTCCTAAAATCAATATTATTTTTTTAAAAACTTCATAGTGCTTATATTTCTTCTGCGGGACAAATAATTAAAGCAAGTGTTGCATTAAAATTCCCATAATCAACAATTGACAATTTTTAAATTGACAATACATAAATGAGCAGAATGAATCGAAAAATGTAAAAACAAATAAGCAAGAAAAAAACAAGCAGATAAATAAATGAAACGACAGTGAATCAAGAAATGGATGAATAAATAAATAAAATAAATCAACATACTTAAAACTCGGATCTCCAGCTGGATTATTAGGATCGTATAGAAAATGATATGTACGCACAAGTCTATTGCCAACGCTCTGAATTAGTTTTACACCTTTGGAGCGACCCCAGCGATAGCCATCATTATGAAGGGCACGATTCTGGTCAATCCTAAAATGTGATTTTTTAAGAGAATCAGAGATCTCTTAAAGATTCTTAAATCTCTTTAAAAAAAAAAACCTCTTAAAGAAAAAAAAAACCTCTTAATCAGAGATCTCTTAAAGAGAATCTCTTAAAAACCAAATGTTTTAAGTAAATCAAAGTACAATCAGATGCTATTTCGAAAAAAATTCAAACAGTGATTGAATTGTGGTGCCTTAAATATCGAACAAAATTCTAACCCGTGACAGTCGTACACAATTATTGTTCCTCCAACGGGTCTTAGCTTTGGCATGTCCAAACTGATGATTGATGGATCTCTTTTTGCTCTTCCTAAAGATAGTATATGATTGCAAATAAGCGCAGTATTATTTTCCATCAACAGTTTTTTAACTCTTGGAAAACTTAGAAGAATAAAGCAAAAAATCAATCATAAACTTCTATTCTTCACATATTCAAAGTACGAAGAATAAAATAAACTAATCAACTTACGAATAAGATCGAGATAAAATCGATATGGATATAGTCGTTGATGACCCGTAAAACAGAAGTGAGGATTGTTTGGATTAGGTGCTAATTCTTGATCTTTTCTTACGCTATACGCACTCGACTTTCCATAATTGCAATTTTTCCGGGCTATTTCGCTTGGCCATATACGGCGATCAATTCGTCGAATGGCATATGCCGGGGTTGTGATACGACGGATTTTCATCACTGGTTGATTTTCATCCTCATCTTCATCAATGTCACTAAATTCGAATGTTTTTGTAATGTTTTTAAATTCAAAAAATAAAGCAAGTGATAACAAGTAAAATCAATTAATATATATGACTTACCGTTTGCAAAGTTTAATTCTACTTGTTGTTGGTCTCGATTCTTGGGAAAAGTTAACCGATGTATCACCCTCAACATCAACTAGCTCATGAACTCCATTATCACCCATTCCACCTCCCACCTCAACATCATCTGATGGCTCTTCCAATGCGGCGGTAGCTGAACGTCGTCGTAACGTTGGACGCATATTCTTACTTCCTCTCGGCATTACTCTTCTCTGTTGCAGTACTGTAAAAGAAAAATTTTTCAAAATGTCATAGATTCAAATTTCTCAAAAAATACTCTTTGTTCCTACCATCTTTAAACAAGCCTTTAAACGATAAAATGTTAATTTTAAATAAGCAATCTACATTAATCCCTCCTACACCATATGTTACATATCCGCCCCACGTTTTCAAGCAGAGAACTACTAACGTACAAAGTGCAGACACGCGTAGGGCCATGGACCGCCACAATGATTGCTATGGGCCGCAATCAATAGAAATCTTCGCAAACCTAAGCTCCGCCCATCACTGTTCACTGCTTTCTTGCGTAATCGGATCTCTATATGTTAAGTACTATTTTGTCATTGAAAATGAATAACAGTTAGGAATATCAGAGTTTCGATTTCAATTTTGCTTAGGATAGTAATTTTTTACATATTGTGTTGTTATTTTAAAATGAATGTAAAAATTCGGAGTAAAATTTCAAAATTACACATAAAAATGGATCTCATCACATGCAAACAATATCTGAAAATTGTTTGATTAGGAGACATAATTTTGTGTCACTCTACTAGAACTAATTACCGTTGCTCTCTAGCCACTTTTTCAGTCCGTAATTGAATTGTTTTTCACTCTTCTAAATCACTTTTTTTTTGTCTCTTTTATCACAACACTTATCATTCCATACATTTTTGAGTTCTTTAAATGTATAGTATTTTATCATCTTTTACCTTTATTCGCGTTCTGTGTATTTTTTTTTTTTAATTTCTAATCCGAACACTTTAAAACTTTATTAATTTGAAAATTTCATTGTTATAATCTATTTTCATTCTACAGCTCGTTAAGGATTACAGTGAGGAAGTGTCTGGTGATATTTCTCTGACTTATTTGGTTAACTTACATGGACTCAACTTATTTTTAGTCATTTTGCTTGATATCGGATACTGCATGATGTGTACAACATTTATAGGAGCTGGGTCATTTCAGGCTACAGAGGTTTTGAGCCTTTAAGCCTTTAGTCTTTGATCAAGCAGTAGTGTATCAGTACTGACTACTCAAAGTTAAAAAGTGGTTTTTTGTATTAAACCGTATGACTTTTTGTAGATTTTGGATGGTTTATCTTTGGATAGTTTTTCTTGCTTAAGTGAATTTCGGGAAACAGCAGCAGATTTTATTGTCATTTAAAAATTTCTTTACAGCTGGTATTTCTTATCTTGTGATAGGTTGCTATTTGATTTGCTGATTTTATTATTTATTGGATGTTTTCGATTCGGTGAATACGGTAGTGTTGTCTTACGAGATGAAGAAAATTTGGAAGTCAGTTTTACGTGCGATAAAAAGTCGTAAGTATCAACAAAAAGCAATTAAATATGCTGAAGATGTGGAGAAAACCAAGGTTTGTTTTTATTGTATAGATTAATCACATTATCAAATTGTTTAAATAACTATTTATGGGTCTTGTTTGTGTGTCGTTTCGACTATTCCTGAATCGTTTTGTTCAAGTTATTTTGAAAGAACCATTAATTTTGGTGTAAAATATTCGAATTTCGTTTGTAGAAATAGTTTACGCATCATATTTTTCTCCCACTGAAATGATAACTTTTCCTTACTGGTAGTGATCTTTTACGTATGCAGTTTCACCAGCTTGTAATTTATCTACAATAGTTTTTCCTGCCTTTTGAAATTTTGAACAATTTTTATTAGAACCAGAAAGATGTTTTTGAAAATGGAAAATGTTATGTAACTGGAACTGATTTATTTTCTTTAGAATATTCAAATAATTAAAAAGAATGCTTAATTTGTAGACTATTCATCGAGCACCACGACATCCAACGGAACAAAAACATTTTCAAAAAGTTCAGGCCGACGAGAAAATTACACAGGTATAAACTTTTCTCACAAATTCAAACGTTTTATCTTTCATATGCTTTTCGGGAGTAAAAATTGTTGAAAAGCAATTTTGGTGAGTTTCAATTTTATTTTCTTATATTCCATTACTCTGTACTATGGTTTTTTTCCCTTTCAGGAAATAAGAAAGCGAAACAGTGTTTTAATAGATAATATGAACAAAATCACAGTAACTTCTTCTGAACCACAAAATCGTTGGACACCGACCAAGTATTGTTTTTCTGCATTAAAAATATTGCGGAGATATTTTCAAACAAAAAATTAAAAGTTTCTACACTTTTACGTTCTTTGTTACCTCATATCTTTCTGTAGAGAATTACAATCAAAAGACACGGAATGGGTTCATAGAAACGATAATATATGGGAATTTGGATTTTATGAGCCTCCACCGGAAAAAATACCAAATGGAAAATTAATGTTTCGCGAAGCTATTGAGGCAAGTTAATCACTTGGTTTTTTGATGAATGGAAATAAATAAGAAGAATGCACAGCGCCATAAGTGTCTTTCCGCTCTGATTGTGAATGTAGAGTACTTACTATTTCATTACATAGTGGTTTAAAAGGATTACTTTACTCTTCTCATATTTGCTCTTATCTGTAATTTTTCTTTCTGTATTTTGGGGATTAATTCGTATCGCTTTTTCAGATTCTACGAGCACAATGTGATAAAGATTTTGTATTAAAATTAAATGAAGAACGTAGAGATATCTTATTGCCTCAGATTCTAGAAAGTTTGGAAAAGCATCCGGTACTGTAATGTTTCTCTTTACACACTGTTTTATATATTCAAATCGATTAATACTTGATTTTATTTGGTGGCTGCCTTTTCAATTTATGTAATTTATAGGCCATGCAGAGGATTGACACCGAAGCTTTTAACACAATTTGGCAATATTTTAGACCTTTCGAGCGGAAGGAACAGCAATATGTATGATTATTTTCAGTTTTATTCTTTCAAATTGCATTGGTATTTTTATTTACTGTGGTTAGATTGTCATTGTAGTAGTCAGTATAAGCTTAAATAATTAAATTATCAAGTTCCACACAATAGTTTTTATTGCTGGTAGTAAAGCAGTTAACATATTACGTGTAAATGAGTTTTTCCTACGATTTCATAATTTGTGTTATGAGTAGAAGTGTTTGTGGAGGGAGTTATTATATTTAAATTGTATCTACAATCTTTTCTAATCCAGTTTAGTATCGTAATCGATATAGAGAAGAATTTTGTTCTATGACGTAAAATTTTTCAGGATCTTTAATTTTCTGTTTCTAGATTGTTAAAAGGAAAGATATTGATGAACTTCGTGATTTAATGTTGGGCTTCCACAAAGAGCCGGAACTGCCATCGTTTGAAAGTTTGAAAAGAAAGCGAGAGCAGAAGCTAGAAGCTGAATTACATGTTTCTTTGGAAGGACATTTAGTGAGTTGCATTCCATTTTTGATGCAATCTTTTTTTTGGATTTGCCTTGCTTCATTTAATTGCTCACCTGTGTAAGGTGTTAGTAAAATATTCATTCCTTACAGAATGAACATGAAAAAGAAAGGCTGGAAAGATTAGAAAAAATGAAGGAATTGAAAGGACAGGAAGACTTGCGACTTTCACAAGAACTAAAAAAGGTAAGTGCTGCATTGCTTTCCCACTTAATGGTGTACGCATTTGAAGATGACATTTAAAAATTTTTTTGTAATTGAAAATTTTTTCTATATGATTCATGCAGCTTGGTCTTATGAACGAAGACAAAGAGCCGGATGAAGCAGATAAGGACCATACAGAAAAACGACGCCTGGAGCAAGCGAAATGATTAGTAGTCAGGTATTGTATTGTAAGTAATAATAGGTGCATTATTTTAATTATGTGTACTTAATATTAATTGATTGTCAAATAAGCTGTTGTAATGCGAATAAAAATTTAATGTAAAATTTGTTCTTTGCTTCAATGTAAAGTTCTATAGGCAGATTCACTTATTTTATAGAACATTTGTGAATGAGCTGCTGGGATGTGGAAAGGGTGGTGTTAAAGGGAATTAGTTTGTAATTCTTTATAATTAAAAGGATAATCAGTAATACTGTCCGATCATTCATGTCACATGTCTTTTTGCTGGTAATCTATGTATCATTATTATCTTAAAAAAGATTTCATAACATTAGTCATTGAAATCGTTTGGCTTCATCGGTCAACTAGCTAACTTTTCCGTGGTCAATGGTGAACAATCTATCAATTTTCCTTGTTTTTACTCTCTTGTGTGTTTGATATTCGTATCATTTTTCAATTTCTTCAGACTCTTTATTTCAAATGGGCATATAACGGTAAATTTGATAACAATGAAACAAATCCGGAAAGTGGTGTGTGCAATTTCCGGTGGTGTTGACAGTGCAGTTTCTGCATATTTGTTGAGAAAGCGGGGATTTAATGTAATTGGCGTCCATATGGTACAGTTTACTTTATACAGTTAACTGTCATAATCGAGGGCATATAAAATGCGTTTCAGTATTTTTGAGCAAGATACGGTATTGGTTAAATGTTAAGCAGTTTTTTAAGGTGAATTGGGATCGTGTTGAAGAGGGTTCAGGCAAATGTCCGCAGTCTGTAGACGAAAAAGACGCGGAAAAAGTGTGCAGCCATTTACAAATACCCTATTATGTGATTAATTTTGTAGATAAATATTGGAACGAGATTTTTACGTAAGTTTAAACTTAGCTAAGACACTGGGTATTAGAAGTTTTACAAGTATAAAGTAAACTTATAAATCCATCCTTGATTTCCGTTTTTTTTTTCACTGGCTTTTTAGCACTTATTTCGAGAAGTAAGTGAAGTTAGGACAACTATTCTTCCAGATATTTGTTGGATAATTATCGTAGAGGAAGAACGGTAGTATCTGATGTACTTTGCAATAAAACAATAAAATTCGATCAATTTCATAAATATGCATTCGATGAGCTTCAAGCGGATGCTGTTGCAACAGGCCATTTTGCAAGGACAAGTTTTGGTGATTTTTTGGAGGAGCGTTTAGAAACTGGATGTAAGTATAAATTTGATAGATTTGTGTAGAAAAAATTATCTGAGTAGTTTGAGTTAATGTTCGCGAAAGTAGAAATTAAGATTTTATGATCTCATTTCGGGTGTTATATGAATGAGATTACAATGTAACTGCGGAACTCCTTACATTATTTTAAATAAAATGTTTGTATATCCATAATATCCCGTTTTTGCGCTATTTTTTCTAAGTGATTACTTAGTGATTCGATTGCTCGCTGCTGTGGATCCGATCAAAGACCAAACATTCTTCCTGTCGACTTTAACTCAATCGCAGTTGAGGAGATCAATGTTTCCAGTAGGTTCGCTGACAAAGCAACAAGTACGCCAAATTGCGGTTGATATTGGGATGGCTGAAATTGCCGAAAAACCAGAAGTAAGTTTTCTTTTGTCTTTATTTTTTCCCTTCTTTTCTTATTCGTAAATCTATGTCGACAAGGTGGAAATACAGAATTGGATTTACCCTAGCGTTTTAAATGAAAATAGCTTCTTATAATTGAAATAAATTTTCTAGAGCATGGGACTTTGCTTCATTGGAAAAAGAAAACGTTTCGATGCTTTTATTGATCAGGTAAGGCATTTAATTTTTTTATAAATAGCAATTTGAGAAAAAGAGATCTTTTGCAAGGGTTTATACTGTTTCTGCATATATCAGTAATAAAGATACCAGTTTTACAGTATATTGAACCTGTAGTCGGTCCAGTAAAGGATATTGATACTGGTAAAGTTGTTTTTGAACACAAAGGTATACATCACTATACAATTGGTAAACGAATTACAATGGTACCTGACCACTGTCAGAGCGCAGTTGGTTTATTTGTTGCTGGTCTTGATGGTAAAACTCAAACTGTGTGGGTGGTTCGTCTTTTTCCAATTTATTTGATTGTTACAGAATATTTAAAGCTTAGGACAATTTTTTATTTTAATGAGAAAGTTTGATTCGTGAAAAGTTTCTGATGGGGAGTCTTTGCGACGACATTTTCTTACGGTAAAGTAAATTATGAAGTTTCGTTCATTAAGCGGGATGAGTTGTTTTATTGAGTTGTTTTTAAAGATTCCAAATATTTTAGTGTCAAGGATCTCATCATCCAGCTCTATTTGCTTGCGAATTTGTCGTTGAAGAACCTCTTTGGATATCTGAATGTCCTATAAATGATACAGGTTCGTTTCTCACTTCTGTATTCTTATAGTGTCTTATTTATTGACTATTTTGATAATTATATTGCAATTTATCTTTACAGGAACTATAAAAACGGAATTTCGTTGCCAGAGAACACATCCAGCACTTCTTTGTGAAGTTACTCGACTTGAAAAGGGACTTTTAAAAGTTAAACCATATAATCCAATTCGAGCCGCTGCGCCTGGCCAGGTATTTATTTTTTATTAATGAAAAAATATAATTTACAGAGTTGTTTCGTTATTGAACAAATTGTTAATTTCAGTTTTGTGTTTTTTATAACGACAACGAATGTCTCGGTGGCGGTGAAATACAATATGTTGTAACAACTCTAACTGATATAAAATGATGGATTTGATTATTGTTCCAAATTCTTTATAAAATAACATATAAGAAATCATCTCTCAAACAAATTTTTGTTTTTAATTTATTTTTGTGCTTTTTTAGATTTATATTTCTGTTGTTTTAAGAGTATACATCAATTTTGAGGAAAATTTGTCCACCCAATCTTTTTTTACTCCTGCTGTCAAGATTTTGTTGGAAATTTCTAGGGAAACGACGAGTTGAATACGAATCAAAAAAGTTGAAAAATTGCATAAAAAGTACATTTCTTTATTAACATTGCAGACAGCTATATGCCCAAAAAATCGGTAATAACCTTATTTAATCCTTTTTTAAAAATAGCTTAAAATCATAATATCTGAGAAGCTTCTCAAAATTTTTTGATTGAATTGTATTTTGCAGTTAATCGTGTTTTCAATCAGAAGTGAGGTTTATGATATTTTTATTGATATTCAGAGTTGTTTAACAGGAAGGACAAAGCATGGATAATGTTGAAAATTAAGTACATGGAAAAAAAATGCCGACAATCACTTAAATATGAATTTTAGTCATTTAGTGCCTTGGATCAAATTGGTTGTGGTGGTGGGTTAGGTGCCGAGGCAGACCAATTTGTAAAGAAACGTCGCGGTCCACAGCATACACAGGCTATTGGTGGCAGTGGTGGTAGGGTTAGTGGTGGCATCGATCCTTGTCGTTTCTGAAACAGAGAGATAAAATTTCAACTGGATTTCGCAGATTATAGTGTCTTTTGAGGACTTTTTTCTCGAATTAATGATGCATTTGAGAAGCTAACCATTCGTTGAAATGATGGTAACGTGATATCTGGAAATTGACCGGCAATGAGTCTTGTTGAATTTATTAGGAATCCATAAACATCTCCCTAGAACGTTAGATTATTTAGTTTCTCACAATCATCAATCCCATATTTATTTGCTCAAATTGAAATAAATTTATATGTTCAATTTCACTAGTAGTAGAAAAAAATGGATGAAAACTTACCGTGCTTACGGTGTAATGTTTGCAAGACATTTTGCAGCAAGATGTGCATGCTTGTGCGGATGTAGTCGCTATATTTGCACATGCCATCCTTACTGCATTGGAGGATAAATCAGTACTGTAATATGAAGATGGTGAATGCGCATTAACATTCGTACCTGCTGCAGTTGATTCATCATTTTCCAAAACAACTAATATCGTTGCATCCAATGTACACACATTTCCTAAATTTTTTATTAAATTTAAAAAATGAAAAACTGTTCGGCAGGTTTTTATCTTTTTTCAATTTTGTATTGTTACAATTATAAATAATTAACTGAACGAATTATTGATTTAAATTTGACAGATCTAAAAATTCAAACTTACTATCGTCAAAAAGAGTCCATAAAAATTGTGGTCGACTTGGTTGTACTGGTGATGGTACCCATCCTGGCATTGGTATTCCTCCTGGTGGTAAAGCCCATCCTTGTGATGGTGGAACACCTTGTGGTTGCATCCAGTTTTGTGGTAATGCCCAACCTTGTGCTTGCCATTGTGGTAACTCATACGGTTGATTCCAGTAATAACGATGAGCTTCACCTGTTTGATTTTTCAATGTTGCCTGTAAAATATATCAATGCTAAATAATTCAAATAAATTTCTATCAAAATTATTTCAGTGATCTGAAGTTTAGTAATTTGCATTTCGTTAGTAATTTATAAAACTTAAACAACTGTGGTGAAATCATTGGGATCTGCTTAAAATTTTGACGAAGTGAACAATCTAAAATCCTAACAGAATAATTTGAAGTTATTAACCTGTCGACTTACATCAGATCTTCCTACAGTAATGAACGAGAAAAGTATTGCAGCGATCCAAATCGAACGCATTTGTTTGAGATGTACTGTTGAAGTTACAAAAAAAAGTGATTGTAAAAGCGCAGCTAATTTTTATATCCAAAACAATAATACTTAGGGCGGAGCTTTCTAAATTTTTCTGAAAATTTTCTCAATTCAATAAATTTCACGTCCTTTACTTATTATGTTATCGCTTTTTTCTTTGGATCGAAATTTGAAAATAAAAATCTTCAACTTCATAACATAACATGATAAAAGAAAAAGTAATAAGAATAGCGTTCATAATATTAGATTTATTACATTCAATTAATGCTTATAGTTTAAATGATTAATTGGTTCAGTGTAAAAGAACCTTACTGAATTTGAAGAAATGTTTGAATATCACATCATTTTTAATTTATGTACAAGAACATAATTCTATCAACTCATTTACATAACTGTTTATGTGCGAAAAAAAATTAGTGAAATTATTGAAATATAATAATTACATGAGATTTTAGAAAGATCGTTTCAGAAAAAAAAGTGTTTACAAACATATCAACAGGTGTCAGTTTCCACAGATATAATAACAATACTCATATAGTAGCACTATATGATAATAATAGTAATGGGTGCGATAATGATAAACATTATAATGATTAACATAACGATAATAATTACAGTTATAGATGAACACTGTGATAAGAGAAAAAGTAATAAGAATAGTGTTTTGATGTAACGGTGCTGAGTAAGAATCATAATACAATTGATAATGATTATTATTGTTGTAATATAAAGAGTCATTAAATACAAATAGTCTTATTAATCTGTTTATTGCATTGATAGAAAAAATAATAAAATTTATTCTGGATAGTTGCATTCCGAAATTTTGCAAATTTCAAAAATACTTCTAAATTTTCATATGTAAGGTAAAAGACTAGCTTGTTTTGGTTCCGTTAATTTTTTTAAGTTGTACTAAATAATAGATGTATTGCATTAGTTTAATTTTAATAATATGATAAATTTTTATCGTTTAAAACTTTTGAAAAATTTCTAAAACTATTTTCATATCAAAGAATTGTAATATAACAAAACAAAATTCATAATTCTTATTTCTCGTAATGATTCATGATAACATGAGATATTTCAATGTAATCTATTATCATCTATAATCGCATTCTTTGATAGCTTGTGAAAATCTTCGCTAATTTCTTCGGTTCCTTCTAGAATTTCAGTCGGAACCATATCTGATGAGAAAATCACAGTTTATAAAAAAAATAATGATGAAATTATTTTTTAACATTCTCAAAATATTCGTTTCTTTTTTACTTCTTATCGTCATATCTTCGACTAACAGCAATATTTCGACGTTTACATTCGAAGATTTTGCTCGTCAATTGATAAATATTATTTCATTTTGTGTAGCAAATTGATGACCAATTAAATTACTTAATATATTATACATTCTATTTAATTTTACAAAACAGTGCATTATAAGAATCGTGAAAGTACCATCTATTTTTGCATGATAATATCAGTTGGTTGAAGATGTAATCATGGGTTTGATAATGAAGGAGGAGAAGAGAAGTGGAAAAAATTAGTCTAAAATAAGTTGCAATATATTAACACTTCGATTCTTTCAAAATACAAAAATATTGTAAAATTTTAAATTATAATTTTTCTTGCACTCATTTCTTCTTATTAACCATTTTTACGTTGAAATGGAATAATAATGATTTTTCGGCATTCTATTCCTTTCTGAGTGTGTATCAAAGAAAAAAAAATTAAATAAACATTAAAAAAAATTAAATGAGATAATAATGCATAACATCATATTCATTTCATATCATTCTTCATCAATTACTATCCAAAGACTACTGCTAATCAAATTTTATTTTCAATAAAAAATATGCTTAGCTCCAAAATAAAGTAATTTAAAATTACAACACTGAAAAAGATATGTTATTTTTTAAATCATATGTAGGATGGGAAAAAAAATTTTTTTAAAAATATTTTGTACTAAAATTTAATTTCTTCCAAAAATTTTATCAAATTTTGCTCTTATTTCACAAATTCTGAATATATTATAAAGTTTTCAAATTTTCGTTTGCTAATAATAGCATATACAACAGATTATGCAATGAACCGCCCATTGATGTCAAAAGTGATAAATAGTTGAATTTTTCATCAGTGTTTATTTCGTGTCTTAAAAAAAAAAAGCTTCATACGATAACAAATGTTATTACTGCTAGTTTTCCTTTCAATTGTAGGAATTATCTCGCCAACTGTGCTACTACCAAAGGTCTGATTTGTTGAAGAAAAAAAATTATCCTTCAAGTGTTAATATATTCTCATTTATTTTTTTTTTTTTTTGAATAAAAAATTTTAAATCTTATTTAAAAAATATGTTTTGAATAAAAATAACAATTATTCCGCTTTTTTTTTCCTAGCAAAACATATCAAGTACAATGAAAAATGAAACTGGCGAAGGACATTGGTATCCACTACCACCACCACCACCACCACCACCAATATCACCAGTGTACGGTGAAATGTCACCATTTTCCTATCCATATGGTTATCAACAACCTTCAACAGGCTATTATCCCTATACATCTTGTTATCCATCAGTATCATGCGATAAAGTAACACCAGTTCCGCTTGATCGTAAGCTTTATTTTTTTTTTCATTTGAAATTTAAGAATTAACTAATTTTTTCCTTATTCATCATCATCGAGTATGACTTAGATATGTGAAGAAACAAATTCAGGCGAGTGTTTTCAATAGTTAGTAAAAATGAGGAAACAAAATCTAACAATATAAGATTTTTTTTTTTTAATTTGAAAATTTTCAGAATTTTATTGCTCAGCACATGGATCATTTGCGTTGGGAACAGGTACAGATTCATTTTGTATTAGTTTATTCATTTGTATTAGTTTATTCAGCAAGCATGTCTTCTAACGAAAATGGATCGTAATTTGAAATATTTCTCAATTGGAATGAATCATATTCTCAGCTTTTGTTAGGTTGCTTTGAGAGCAAAAGAATTAACGGTGAAGATTAGAAAATAGGGAAAATTGCAACATTTTTTTCCTCCTTGTTACAGTTGTGAAATTATTTCTTTCCGCAGGAAATCCACCAAACAAACTAATGCGAGAATTTTGCCGATTTACCGCGACCTCTAGCGAAACTTCCTGTAGTACTTGCTGCAAGATTGCTGCACGACACTACACTACCTCAGCTGTTAGTTTTCAACACTTAAATTAAAAATCAATTGCTAATTAAATTTGAAGTATCTGATACGGCCCAACAGGTTTTCAAGTCAGCTATTGCCGCATAACTGTTTGAATATAAAATACGATTGATTGCCCCTCAATTTCAGGATGAAGTAAGCGGCATAATATTTACGTTCGATCCAAACATGCCACCTGTACAGACCCATCCCAAACCCCAATATACATCACTTCTTCGAAAAAAAAGGGTTAGTTCAGCAAAATTTACAAACCAGAATTACTGAACAAATCAAAATAGCAATCAACCTCATTAGTTTATTTAATTTCAGGCCATAAAAATTACTACTCCGACTGAAACAAATCCTAAATCATCCATCAAGATGCAAAATGCAGTTAGCTTAGCAATATCGCCTGGCCTAACACCTATTGGTAGCAGCATAACACCATCGAACGATGTACCACAATGCTTTTGTTGTGCACCGATGAGATCCATCCATCCATTTTGATGTGATATATTCACCGCATAATTATTTCTTTATAATTTCATATCAGTTTCCAAAACTTCAAAGTTTACTTGTGATTTCTAAAAATTTTTAGAAAATAAAAATTAAAATTCATCATTTCCATTATATAAGCAGATTCAACAAATACTTCTTCACAAAAAACTCCGACATATGGAAAAGGTAAATGAAAAATAAGCAGAAACGGAAGTGGTTGGAAGAGGAGGGAAGAACGAAAAAGCTGAGAATCATACTTAAAACTTTCCAGTAAATGATAAAATACTTCATGCGAATAACATTCCAGATGTTAGAAATCATAAGCCGAACAAAAGAAACGAACATGAACAATTTGCACATCTCCAAAATATTTAGAATAAAACCAATCGTTCGTAACTGAACTCTTATTAGCAAGTTTGACTAGAGTTGTAAACATATGAGTGGTATCAAAAACAGCATACAAATTTTCCCAATACCAGCAGGTAGAGGAAGAACTATCGGATGTCAACCCAGTCAAGTAATCTTATTCAGATAAACGGAATTACAATCGTAATGATCATTATTAAAAATCTCCTGGAAATGTTAACAAATAAAATGCTCGATGTATAAACTTCCCACTAAACTGTCACGCTAGATGAGAGCATAATTCTGACAGTGTAGTTAATAAAGATCAGCTCTATCCTTAATAACAAAAAAATCGAACAGGTCTATTCATTCCCAGTCACAATAAACTGTTGAAGTTTAGTGATTAATTTCAGCCTTCAAGTTTAATGTTGGATACTATGCTAAAAATATATAACAGCATCAAAATCAACCCAACACTAAAATGTTTTCGAAAACTTCGGCTCGAAATAACTTTCTACTTATTTCCATAATTATGAATAATACAAACTGAAAAGCAAAAATATATCTGATGAAACATAAGAAATCAAAATCAGTAGCAAATAAATAAGATTTTTCACAATAAATCATATACTTTGCAACGGAAATTTTCTTTTTCATGCACGACTAAAACAAAACTATTTCGTTTGAGACGTATAGACAATGAATCAAGATGGCTTATTTATTCTTGATAGTTCAGAGTTGGACCATCGACCAAAGAAACACCCTCCACTAATCTCTACAGCCAATATCTCAACAGTCAGAACTATTTTTGGTTCAAGCAGTAGTTTTCTGGCAATACAATATCATATGTTTATTTAAAGGATAGTTCAGAGTTGGATCATCGACCAAAGAAACACTCTCCATTAATTTCTACAGCCAATATCTCAACATTCAGAACTATTTTTGGTTCAAGCAGTAGTTTCCCGGCAATACAATATCATATGTTTAGCTATTTAAAGCCATATTTTTCCGATTTGCACTGAAGTAGAACAATATTAAAATTTGAACTTCTAGTGATATTTTGCACAACGGGAAAACTAATATCATAGCTAGAGCAAAAGCAGAAGGAAAATCTTAAAACCTGAAAAACAAATATTCAGAAGCACTGATCCATGAGACAAATTTTTCAGTTTCTTGAAAACTATCAAAAAGTGATATTCCAACTGCACAATAACTACAAGTTTGTAAAAAAACAACTTTCAGGCTTTAAGAATAGATCAGAAACATCAACGTATAACAAAAGAAAACAAATTGAAGAAATGAACAACGAAACATCCACATCAAGTAGAAAAAGCAAACCTTTCCTGAACAATGGCAAAAGAATATCTTTTCAATAACCGATACCTGGCATAACTGGTTTTACGGCTGACAGAATAGGTTCTCGTGCAATAACTGAATCTGGGAATAACTGTGAGTAGCTTCCGACTGGAACATAATTGGCTGTGATTACTTTGCCTGTAACACAGAACATTAGTGCTTTCCTTTGCTCAACGGATATTAAACAAATCACGAATCCACTGTACCGAAAAATGTAATGCACGAGTATGATAGCAAGAAAATAAATAGCTTATTTCACCCTATAAATGAGAAAAATAGATCACCTGAAAACCATCGTCCATGTAATGCATTCACTGATTTGAAAGCGGCAGCTACGGAAGGACATTTCACATAAACATTGCCATTAGGGGAAGCTTTGTCTACGAATATGTGCAGTACTCCTGCAAGATCGGCAATTTCATTTCAGTCAGTTTTTGTTCCCCATTTTCTTTCATTTTTAATATTCAAATTAAATGGAAATTATAAGGCTGAATATAAAGAATGATTCACCTCCGTTCTTTGCGCACTCTTCTATAACGTCGTCTCGTACTTCATCAGCCCAATTTTCACCCGTTTCCCTGTAGAGGTAAAAAAAAATTGATAATTTCATCACAAGCATTTCTATTCTAGTGCAACACTGACCCTTCGAATCTTTGCGCAAACTATTTTTTTAAAAAGTTAAATAAGCTAGAGAATATCAGTTTACTTACTGAGATGGATCAAACATGTTGGATAGCATGAAGCATTGCGTAGCAATCGGTGGAATCACAGGACCTGTCGCAGTGGCACTCTCCAACTGCTGCTGATTTTGCGCTAATATTTCTTTAGCACTTTTTGGTAATTCCAAACCACTTCCTGTAATTTATTAAAATAAAGTAAACACGATAAAGACATAACCAATTTAGTCATTCCTCCAAAGGTAGACTTTTTCTAGATCAATGTTTCAAAGGATAGTTATGGAAGCACATGTTGGTCTACTACAAATATAACTATTTAGTTGACATTATGACCGGAAGTGATAACGTCGAATGAAGTAACTACGGAATTAGAATATTCCATTGCACATCACTGTTAATCCTTTTGCAAAAACATTCGAAAATATATACAAATAAAGAATTGTATAACAGTACCTTCGGCTAGTTTAGCCATCAAATGCAAACGACCGCTTGTCCCTAAATCAATACCACGTCTGTCCGCATCATCAGTATCAAGTGTCCGCTGAGGGATTGGTGGTGGCAGTTCATCTCCTTCAACAGAGCAAACCTAAAATTAAAATATAAAGAAATCCACATGACTTCATGTTTGTTTATAAACATATTCCAAATGTAATACTACATTTTTATCTAGAGAATTTTGAACTGAGCACACCTCCCATCAAACTTTCATAGGTTTATGTAATAGGATGATGCACGAAACAGTGCAGTACGAAAAAAGGTGCAGCACGCAAAATTAAGTCAAACAATACCTTCATTGGACGACCTGCTAATTCAAAACCATTCATTTGTTCCATAGCTCTTTTACCATCATCAGCATGTCGGAACTGAAAAGCTTGCACGCTGATAACTATCATTAAATTAGACGAGCTTATATAGCATTAAAATAGTCGAAAATATTTCAGTATGTTCTCGATAAAACTGGCAATAATATACCGTTACATATGCATATCCTTTAGAAACGCCACTGAGATCGGTTGCAATTTCCAGGTTCTCAATCTGTAAAACGTTATTTTGAGTAATGCATTAAAATAATAAGTGTAAAGGACGTTGCTCTCAAAATGTACCTTTCCAAATGGATCGAAAATCCTCCCTAACATATCCTCTGTTATACTTGTATGCAACTGGCCAACATAAAGCTTCAATGGACCCGTGGTGTTTGTAGGACCAAAGCCAAGTGTTCCACCAACGGTGTTGTTAGCCGCACGGTTCCTTTCAGCCAACGTTGGCTGAATTACTAGAGGAGCGCCAAGTAATTTTTGCCCATTTAGTGCAAGAGCCTGGAAACACAAACGCATAACTTTGGAAATTTATAAAACATAGCGCGAAATTTCGATCAAAAAATTTTAAGTTCATTTCACAACGTATTTAAATACTTCCATTAATGAGGTCCGGAAATTCCGGAATTCAGACATAGAACTTTAAAGCTCTGATATTCGCAAGTCCGATGGATAAAATGTCAAAAGAAATAAATTTATGCCAGATAAAATATTTGTAATCAGAAGTCGCACAAAAATATTTAAAACAAATAAAATATGAGTACCGGTATGTGAAATAGTCCTATACGTTGCTCTACAACAATTACTAACCAAATTAACACTTTCAATTTCCCAAAATTCCACATAACAAATTCCTTTTGATCGTCGAGTTTTTGAATCTGTAATGATTCGCACATCGCGCACATGTCCAACACTAGAAAAAAATTCCTCCAGATCACGTGGTCGAGTTTCCTTTGCTATCTGAAGCACTCGTTTTTAAATAGTGCTACTAAAATAAAATCCTGTAAAAATTATAACTGTCAGTGAAGAAATACTTCCTTAACGAACAATGTTAGAATTACCTGTAGTATAAATACTGTACGCTGATCACGCTCTTCAGATGTCATATCCATTTTTGCATTTGGAGGTGGCGAACGACGTGCAGTAAACGGCATCCTTAAAAATTTATTTCATAATTGTTTAACATATAAGGTTGTAAATCTCGAAACAAATCAGAGCTGCAACAGCGCTTTCATGAACTAATATAATTGATAGTCAAGCATATAAGATTTTAGGAACTTACACATCACGTCTTTCTGGTCCTGGCAGACGAGGTCCACGGGGTGGTGAACGTCTCCATGGTGGAGAGAATCCACGACGATCACGATGGTCAAGCACACGAGGTCGTGACCTGCGATTAAAAATTTTTTGATTTCAATTTTTTTTTTTGCATCTCCTGAGTTATCTGATAGTACCGAACGTTTCTGATAAGAGACTAATTTTTTTAAGAAGCTAAGGAAAGAAATTACCAGGATGGACTTCTTCGCCTACGCTCTCTGGATCGCGATCGTCGTCTGCGGTCACGTGATCGTGATCTTGAATGTCGACGCGATCTTGAGCGACGATGACGATCTCTCGAGCTGTAATTAATTATAAAGATATCAATGGTTCCAATAATAATATTAATACAAAAAGCACCTTAATCAGAATCCATAAAGACGATCCACCCTTTGTACTACTGAATATTCGATATTAAATGACAGAGCGTTCAAAAGCCACTTGCTTCCACAATTCGAAAATGCAGAACAATCTTATTTTCATTTCTTACTATGAGCATTTATTAAACAAAACAGGAAAAGTACCGTGATCGACGACGAGAATGACTGCGCTTACGGCTGTGTCTGCGCGATCTTGAACGTGAACTAGAAGCATTTCCATGATGACATTTCGACATACATGCATTCATACTCTCAATTCAGAATTAGCCACTAACGTCAGTATATTTATCCATCATTGAAACAAAATTTGTAGCTATCTATCAATAACTAATGTCGCACTACAGATTAGTATTACTGGAGAGTTTCTGCTCCATTAGGTCACTTATACCCTACTGTTAAGTACAAAAAAAGAAAGTTAATGTCCCGTCATGAACATTTGAAAAAGCAGAGTATTTAAAGTCGAATTATTTCAGATTTGTAATAAAAATCATTAGTCAGTTCGCTTCAGCCGGTGAATTTCTTGAGCATTTTACCTCTGATCATCTGTTTACAGGACAAAAGCAAAACAACTGACCGGGACTTCTTCTTATTATCACGGCTTGAACTTCTGCGTCGCTTCTTTTTTTCTTTATCTCTGTCACGGCTGCGAGAACGGCTACGAGAAGAAGATCTGTAATCACAAAAGTACTGAAATGGAAAAATCAAAAGTCATACAATTAAAAGTAAAAATTGTAGGAAATAAATCCTGAAAGTATTGTAGAAAAACACAGTTCATCGTAAACTGTAAAAGTAAGCTCGTCGGAGTCGAAATATCTGATGCTCATGGGACAACTGCAGAAGTGGAACGAAAGCGAGGAGTAATCCAGTGTTTCCAATCGTCCATAACGCCATATGATATCGTGTTATGCCTGTAACACTTGGAGCGCGCCAGCCAGTTTTGAAAGTACTTTTTAAATAAAAAGCATTTGAAACGTTTTATTGCAAGAAATACAATCCTTTCCATGAAATAAAGTGATGAGAAAAGTTGAGAGAGGCGGCGCGCTCCGACTGCATTGATAGGCATCAACACATATACGACATTCTCGCGTACCTCATCGTCCACATTTTCAATTCATCCTCATTCAGTTTCCAACAAGAAGCAAACAGTTTCCCGAAGCATCGATCGAGCTTTGTTCATCATTATAATGCAGAAGGTATAAGGTGACACAGAGCTGTATCAATCGATTTTATGACTCTACAACGACGATTCGACTTAAATTACGGTTTTTAATTACTTGTTATTTCTGCACTCATTTGTGGCTTCCAGATTAAATCGCACACACGACAAATCCGTTAAATAAGGTAAGATACGGACATACATTACCGTACATTTAAAAATTCAAAGTCCTTTATTTCCTGTGAGAAATCCTCACTGACTACCGGAAACTACCTATTAGACAAGTTATAATGCGACTAGAATCCATGCACTAAAAGGAACGAAACAGCCTAACTTTCACCAAATCTCAGTTCAGGGAATCCACATTAACCAGGAGAAATAATCCTTATTAGGGTAAGGTAGTAGAGCTAAAAGATTTTTTGTCTTATGGGAAGGAACGCTTACACAATCCACTATTTAGAGAAAAAACTACAGAAAAAAAATTGGAAAAACAGCCTCCCAGAACCGCTGTAGCTTCTATAAGTGCTCAAGGGAACTCAAAAATATATAAAAAAGACATTGGTAAATGAAAGCACGCACCCATACCATCACTTATAAAAGATCTGGAAATGAATTCCTGCAACAGTTCTGAATTCCTTTCACCCTCTGAGGTGCTGTCTACAAAGGTCGCTGAAATAAACATATAAACAAAGATTAACAAAAAAAAGGCAAAATTACTGGTAGGAAAATTTTCTTTTCCATTTTTTCCAACCTACCTAGACCTTGAAGGAGACCTCTTCTTATATTCACTGCTCTCTTTCTTCTTCTTACTTGGCGACAAAGTTGTTCCATCCTCACTATCCATTTTGTCCGTACCATTTGCAGCACTAGGTGTTTCCTCATCACCTTCTTCGCTGGACTCCTCTTTCCTTGGTGGTTCACCCCGTATCAATGCCGCCATTGGTTCCGCATGCCCATGACCGTAGTTTCGATCAGACTTGAAAATAAAATCAGAATTATTTCTTCAAATTACATTTCTCTAGGGAAATATTGAAAGAGAAAAGCTATAATATGTATATTAAATAAATTACTATTCGGAAAAACTTGGTGCAATCATGAGTGGAGAAAAAAATCTAATCCCACGTGATACTGTCTTTGCTAATCAATCAGTCCACATTTACCCAGCTAAAAATACTTAAAAGCAGCAATGCAATGATATGTTGCACAAAACTAATGATTACTGTACCACCAACCACTAATGTTATAGAAACATTCTTTTTTAGTCTCACCACTTCTTTCCACGCTTCGTTTACCCACACCCATAAACAAGTTTATCAGTATTGCACTATCAAAGAGACAAAATACACTTACACTTACATCTTCAATTTTGTCAAGCGCCTCCTCAAGCATTGCATCGACATCCTCCGGCTCACCCATAGCTGTGCAAACAGGAGAAATAATCGTAACACTAAAACCACGTGGAATGCACCTAAAATCACGGAGTACGTGAACTAAGTACAAATTTCTCCATCACGCCCACACTCAGAACCACGCCCCACGCACACCCAACTTGCACACCATACCCAATAATGAAAATGCCGCAAAAAAAAGAAAATTTACGGCGACCCTAACAGAGGCATCCGACTTACGCATACAACCCATGCTGACGAATTAACACTACGAACTTTACACACATCAAAGTTCATGCTATCATCCCGAAATGCAATTTCAATCTTTTCGTATTGCAAGATTCCTAGTTGTGATTGTGTGAATATTGTGAGTTTACGCTTATAAAAGTCACATCTACGTGAGCAACGTATTGAAGAAAATCATGCAAGTGTACGACAAATGCCATTAAGTCATGTAGTATCGTTATTAAAGTTATGGGGGTATTTTTATATTCATTTATGATTATCTTTATAAAATTCTCATAATTAGATGATATGTAGACAAGTTATGTCTTTATTTAAATTACTTACACAAACATTTCATATCTTTTTTGCATTCACCAAATTAGGATGATATCTGTATTCAAGGTTACGCAAATAACTGATCTCATTAATCTCATAAGTATATTATGATAATTGATTTCATCAATCTCATAATATACTTATCAATATGCCAAGATACCAAATAATATTTTTAATGAACTTGTTTCTTTTGCAAAATTGACATATGCAAGAAACTGCACAGGTGATGTTTATCCATTAGGCTTGCATTAAGTAATCATTATATGAAACGATTTTGTATACTTTATTTGTAACCAAGATAGTTTGAATGAGATCTACATTTTTAGTCTGTGACAATCAATATCAAGGAATTAATAATAATAATCGTCAGAATTATAAGTATCATCGGTTGATGTGTTGTTAAGGATATATTCGGGGCAATAACCGCACGTACGCTTGCAGTTACGCCACATATAATAGCTGTGGCGTCCCTCTACGTAACATAAATGTCTCTTTCGGTGGCAGTCAATTTCTGCATCATTGCATTCTGTTGGGATATCTTTTACGGTTTCAATGTAATCGCAGAAATTACATGTATAGGAACAATCTTCGCTCATTCGTTGTTGATGCTCAATCCGTTCGCAAAGATGTCTCATATATTTGCAGTAACTCAAATTATCCGAACAATCTACAGGTTCAAAATTTTCTCGATCGTAAACTCTGAAAATCAGTGAGCTTCACGATGTGTAGAATAAGAGATTTGCGATATCGATTGGTTTGGATGAATGGAAGGAATTGGATTTCATAATGAAATATTGATGAATAAAATCTACGATCAAGAATAGGTTGTTACCTATAAACAAATTAAGTAAGCATGCTGGAAATAATCAATCTACAATTAGAGCAAAAATGAATACTAAAATTTTGCAGCGTCCTGTTTAAATTTTATACTTGTAACTAAGGAAATATATCGAAAAAGTGAAAACCTGCAAAATGAACATGTCAAACGACATCTGGATTGCATTACTGCCTGATGCCAATAGGTAAACGTACAATAATCGGTCAGTTCAGCGCAATTTGTTGCCAAATCCGCGCAAACATTGTTGCAAAATCCACATGTTTCCGGACATAAATGATACATACGTTCAGCAGTTGCCTCAGAAAAACATTCAATTTCCTGGAAAAAAAAAAAACATGAAAGGAGGAAGAATTTAGCTAACATGCAGAAAAAATGAACATTTATTGCTCTCTCTAACCATACTGCACTTCATTCCACGAAAATAATTATGTCGAGAGAAAAAAAAAAATCCAAAACTAATTTTGTCTATATGTCAATTTTGACTTATGTGTTATACAAGCTTAGCAAAATTATAGATTTTTTAGGCTTTCCTTTCAAGGTATAATTTCAATCCGTACAATTTGCTCAGTGATTTATTCCCTTTTCTTTAATACTTTGAGAAAAAAGACATTTTTTTGTTGTAATTCCTTAAAAATTTTTTTCTTTAAAAAAAAAAATTCAATTGAACCCGTTGAGCACAATCGTCCTCTTTATCATGACATGTTTTCGTATAATTCATCCCATCGTAACACATATAACATGTTCGTCGACAAGCTTTCTTCATATAATTTTCTCGAGTTTTATTAGCATTAATGCACCAACCTTTATACACTGAGCATAATGGGTCTTCATCAACGCACCAATCTAAAATTAATCATAATTTCAAATCTTGAAACTTTTTTTATGATCGAAAATTTTCATGTGAAGCAAAGAAATCACTTTGTTAACAATTATCGTTTTGTTCATAATTACTATGAAGAAGGAAAAATGTACGTGCAGATTTGAGACTTAAGCTGAATTAAATAATTTTGAAAAATAAATTCTCAAATTTATTAAGAGTTATCTTATTGGTTAACTCAGAACAAAATGTAAACTCTTACCTGGTCTGTGTTCATACGTAAATTCAAATGGCACATAATTCCATTGGTTCCATGCAGATGCCACAAAAAATAACCCAAATAGGATAACGGAAATAAATTTGATCATTTTAATTGATTATACACAAATTGGTAAGTTTAGTATTGTATGATACCTACTGCAAAATTTTAAAATTTTTAAGATCATTTATTTGGATTTTCATTTGCAAAATTATTTGAGATAAGATTTTAATAAAGTCCAAATAAAAAAGTAATTGTGAAGTAACCGATTTCAAGAGAACACTGAAGTATACTGAAGTGACCTCTGCCATGCAAAATCTATCAGCGTGACCTCAAAATTGATTGTGTGCCCTGATTCCGACACATGAATTTTATTCTTACTTTTGTATGCATTCAAATTTTTTTCTTCCTTAAATTTTCAAATTCAGAAAATTAGAATTCTAATTTTTTCTCGCATCTTCTCTTGATATTTATTTCATCATTTTCAATTATTCAACTTTATGATCAAAGAAAAAAGCATGCTTTTATTATTGGTGCGCAAATTAAATAAATTTTTCAAACGTAAAAATATGTTGTGTGAGAAAAAAGTGACAAATTAAAATGATAGATAAGTTTTGCAATAATGTGAATAGCTGACAACTACGCGTATAAAGAAAGCCAGATCTTTTAAAATCTTAAAAAGATGGCTTTTTGTGTGTATTGCAGTGTATTTAAATTTAAGTCATTTAAAAACAAGTTTTTTCTATTTAATTAAATTCTTTTTTTGCTGACAAATATTAGTATGCTTTTAACAAGGAAAAATATCAAAATTCATATTTTCCACCGTTTGAAATATTGTTTCAAAGGACGCAATTGAAACAGCCCATTGTTAGTATTGTAAAATTTTAAATGGATAATTTAATCTCAATCATTTTTTACTTTTGGAACAAATATTTTGTTCTTCCTTAAGAATTGAGCTACTTCTTTTGCTAAAAATGCTTCAAGTTCAATTGACAAAGTTGTAACAACAAATAACTGCAAGAAATTTCATTTGTTAAGGTTAATAGAAGAACAAAAATGGGCAAATTATTACTTCATGGACGTAAATTAGAAAAATGTAGTAAAATAAAGTTTGAGGCACTCAATCTGTCTCTTAAAAAAGGAAAAAAGTCTTCAATTATAGATGAATTATAAGTTACAGAAAAATTTTTCTTTAGTGAAAAATTGAACTGTTAAAACAGCAAACAAACATTAAGACAATACGGCAGAGCATGAGATATTGAGTTGACTTTTGAACTTTCTAAAGTAATAAAATTGGGCAATGGTGACGATGGACCAGTAAACCTAGCACGTAATTTTGTCAATCCTTTTTTTTAGTCCTATTTTGTTCATTAGACAATTGTTTCAGGCCCTGAAAATTATATTCACTGAAATAATAAGAATAACAATGACTGTTTACAGATAATGTTCGAAAGGAGAAAGAGAAGAGTTTAAAATTCAAACGTACTATACCGAAAACTGTAAAGTTAAGCTGTATTGTTTCAAATATAGATCCTGTAATTAACTATCGAATCCAAATTATCGATAATCTAACAGGCCGGATATACTTAAACAACTGATATTATAAGCCTTTCTGGAAGGTTCGTGTGTGATCCACATTTATCATGCATTATCATTTCGAGCTGAGCTATATTCCACTAAATAATACAATAGTATTAACCATATGAGAATATAAAATTATCATCATTGGAAAAGAATTTCGTACAATCAAATAAACTAATTTGTGAAACTAATAAAATAAGCATTTTCAGTAATATCGATATTCATATTGATTTTAGTTACTCCACTGAGTAAATAAATGTGTAACAATCAAACAAATAAAGAATAAAGGAACTGCTATATTAAAAATATATATATTTACTTATTTATTTATGTATTTATTCATTTGTTTATTTATGCATTTTTCCATTTTTGTTTATAAAAGTGAAGGAAGAATGAATGAAAGACATTTATTAACTTCCAATGCTATTTTGAACGTCGAATCCGAGCACTACATGCTAAAATTGTGGTACTGAACATTCAGTAGACTGAATATGAGTTTGCGTGTAACACGTGAATAATGATTTAATTTTTTCCTTTTATTCTTTATTTTTACATTTTCCTTCCCTACTTTTTGAACTCTTTAAAATGTAAAAATTTTGAAACGAATTCAATAACCTGACGACAGATTGAATTTTTTTTTATGGGTAAATAGAAATATCATAAGAATTCGATAGAATTAATTTGTAATGCATAAAATTCTTGTTATAAAATGATTTTAATGGTGAAAGGATAGCAGAAAATGGACGCAAGTTATGAAAACAATAAATAAATAAATAATTAATTAACATATATTAAATACAAATCAAATTTTTCGAACTTTTTTTTTTAAAAAAAAAAGCATATTAATTATTTTTGAGATTTAATGCAAAGCCATTAACAATTTTTTCGTTTTTTTTCTATCAGATTATGAAATAACAGATATTCAATTTTTGGCAAACAAATTACTGTGTTAATTAACGCCAATTAATTAGTTAAAGTTTTCAGTCAAATATTATAAGTTTTTACGAAGAGAAAAAAAAAACATTAAAATGAATAAAACAAAAATGAATACAGTTGTATTATCCATTCCCAGCTTGATATTGGAAACTTTGCAGATAATTTTAATTTACTTAATACAGTACAATTATCTGAAAAAGAGAATATCATTTCTTATCATTAACAACTATTTTGTATTGGAAAAGCAAATATAATTGATTTCAAATTCTCACTTATCATTGTTAAATTTCAATTTAATTTTGCATTTCTTTTTTATCCGATGACACTTAAACATTTCCTGTCACAATAATAACATTATTCCCAACCTTAACTTTTCTCGTTTTTTTGGACACTAATCAATGCCGAACTAATCAATAATGATAACATATTTTAGTTTTTTTTTTCAGTACCAGTCAATATTGAATTATCAATATAATTATAAAATGCGTACAACTTTATGCATTGCACTGAAATTTGAAAATCTTTTGATCTCATATTATACGCTATATGATACAGACATGCATATATAATATTCTTGTTTTGATTGGTTTGATATGATTTTATCATTGATCGATTAAAAGTATTTAAAATTTATAATATTAGCTCACTCTTCTCCCTCACCCTCCATTCCTTTTTTTTTGTTTGCATAAAGTATGTGTTTAAAAAGAATTTTTGGTTTCATTTTCTGTTTGAGACTAAAACAAAAACTATTTATGATTGGTCTGTTATTATATCAATTTTACTTTAAAGTGTTAACATTTACAGTTATGCTAACAAAGTTGATTGTTTCCTATAAAATTCATTTAAATTTCGTACTTAAAATTAAGGACAAGTAATTGAAAAGGAAAAAAAAAATATAAATATATTATCTAATTTTGTCCTTCATTGAAATCTTTCGGGTTAATTGGTTTTTCTTTGAAAAATTATATCCGCTAATGGCAATCATTAAAATATTGAAAGAGTGTTCTCCCTGTAGATATTTTATATTTTGAATGTAATGTTATTAATGATTTATATATCATATTTAACTTCAAATTTTAGCAATAAGAATTTGATTCTAATTGATGAAGAAATTTTGAAATTTTAAAATAATTTAGTAATCTTCAACAGATCATTTTATATAATTAGTAATTTATTTTGGACAAATTAGTACGATAATGTTATAATACTGATCATTTTAACAAACTTTAAATTGATTAATTGTAAAATTATTGAAACAAAAAGCACTAATGTGCATAATTGCATAAACTTTAATTGATATTTTAAGGCATAGAATCAATGAAAATCTGCTTAATATTTTATTATAATAAACATACAATATATCAAATTTGTTTGATATTTTATACAAATAATTTGAAAGGCATTAAGAAGATATTTTTATGCAATAAGTATTCGTATTACCTGCAAAAGATTGATAACATTTCATCTAAATCAGAAATGTAGAAATATCAATCCATTAATTCACAAAGTAAAAAAAAAATTTTGTATTAAAAAAAAAAAATCAAATTTATTTAGTTATCATTTTTCTAACATAGCAATTCTAAAGTGAATTTCAGTTTTTCAAATGTTTTTTAATTTAATAAAATTTCGAATGTTTTTTTAATGAATTCCAAATGTTTTTTAATCTAATAAATTTTTAAATCAAATTTTTTTCTTCCACTAAAGTAACTGTGCGGTATTACAAGTCATACAAACAAATTTAAATACAAGTAAGGCATTTTTACATTTTAAAGTTAGGATAAAAGTAAATTTACACACTAATCTTTTATCTCGCAAATAATCTTAATTTTGCTATGTTTATAACCTTTTATTCAACGTTCATTATTTTATAGAAATATCATTCATCCAAATCTAATAATAATTGTTAGTTACATTAACATTATTGTATCAATGAAACAAGAAGAGTTTAAAAATAATTAATTTTGTGCAAAAGTTGACCCACTAAGTCCCCAAAAAATGCTTATCGCAAGCACAACAACGGCAATACCACCGGTAGCACCAACAACAATATAGCTTGGATCCGATTCCAATATTAATGATTTCTCATTTTCACGAAGATAATTTCTTTCTACAGCTGTTAGTTCTTCTCGAATTGGATACCAATTACCGGATAATCTGCGAGTACATTCCACATTTTGTGAACTTTCCACTGCGATGATAAGCTGAAAAAAAAAAACTATTTGTCTTTATCATAAATGACAAATTAATTTGACAAATAATAATTTGAAAAAGTTTTTCAATCAATTATTTGAATTAAATTTTGATTAAAATTAAAAAAAAATTTTTTAAAGACCTCATGAAGATCAGCATCTGCAGATATCCAATGATAGCCATCATTTTGTAGGAGTAAAATTAATTGACAAACAGATGGCAGTTCCGGAAGACGTGTGTACAATTCAACATACATATCAATGGTAAGTGGCATCATTATTTCATAGAAACTATAATTAGCAACACCGTCGAATGCGCGAACAACATGTTCATAATGATCCGTTGGACATCTTCAATTTCATAAAATTAAAAGTGAAATCAAAAGAAAAAAAATTAAATAGATAACTGCGAATATATCATTTCTTTACCCGTACAATTTGAAATTTTGAATAATTGTGACAAATTTGTTCGTTTAGCATTTTAATTTCGGATAGATATTTATCAGATTAAATCAATGATGATGTTTGTATTAACAGCACTTTGTATGATGAAATTTAAATTTGTGATTTAGGAATAGCCTGCATTCTAATACATTAAAATCTTATGACATTCAAGAAAAAAAAGTCTTCTATTTTGAAATTAATCTATTTTATCATAAATTAAAGATTGCCAATTTGAGGAAAGAAATCTAAATTACTAGTGATTAAAGTGTTTCAAAAAAATAAATTTAAAATTCATTAAAAAAACTAACCGATTACTATCAACTATTTGTAAAACTTGCTTTTCACCATGACACAATTGTGCTGTATTTATAATTGATTCCAAATGCTCCCAAGTGCTTACAGTTTGAGCATTAATTAATTCATGCGATGCGAGGAATGAGAAGAATTCTTCCTAAAAATATATTCTCTTCAAAAATTATAAGATAGCTTGATGAGTATGTAAATAATTCTAAAAATTTTGTCAATATTTTGATTAAATGAAAAAAATTTTAAACGTTATAATCATTTCAATCATTTAAAAAAAAAAAAAAGCTTGCAATTATTGAAATCTTCGATTACTTACTTTGTCGTTTACATTACCATCATAGCGAAATAATTGTCCATCAATAGCATAAACTAAATGAGGTTTTGAACCATCATAAGTTGATCGATCGGTAAAGATAGGACTATTCCGGCGATTATCATAAAATTGATAGGTGAAATGTTCATGTTTTGCTGTTAGATTATTTCGATTTGAGAATTCACGAATCCATCGTGGAATCTTTGAAAAGATGCGAAATTATTAATTTTTCAATATACTTTTTTCTTTCTTTTCTCTTTCCCTTTTTACTTTTTTCAAGAAAAAAATAGCATACAGATAAAAATTTTAATCAAATGTTTAAAGAACAGAAAACAAATTATGCTTGAAATTATCTTCAACATTCGTTAATATTTATCATGTAGCAAAATTAAATTGAAAATTACCTGTGATTGTGTGGGATAACATCGTCTAACGCAAAAAAGTACCAAAAGTCTTTCACTAAATTCTAATTTTTGTTTGATTGTATTAACGAGATGTTGAGTTCGACGATCATATACAGCATTCTTACCATTCTTCAAAAGATGAATTTCACTACCAAAATTTCGATTCCAAGTTCGAATTGAAGCACCATCAATTGTTTTCCAAATGGCTATAATAATTAGTGCACATTGCACTATGAACATTTACCAATTTGAGAAACTGAAAAAATAAACATATATTATCTAACACTTTTTTTTTTCTTATCAATTATTACTCATATCATTTCAAATATTGATATCATTCACAAATTTAGTAATTAACTTGTAAATACATTTACATATAATTTCACTCATCGATATCCATGTATTTATGAATATCTTTTTGCTTAAAAAAAAAAAAAAAATGAGAATGCTCTGATGGAAATGAAAATTTGATTGTAAGAATAAGCAAGAAATAATGGATAATACAACTTGGAATGAGCATTGTTGTACCTTAAAAGATGCGTCGAAATTAGATGAATATATGAGGAAGGAATGCTAACAAATAGCTTTAGAATTGATTAATAATAAATAATCTTATCAGTATGCTTTGATGGATAAAAAAATTGGATAATTGTTCGCTACAAAGGTCAAAGTGTATCACATTATGATATGCTGTAAATGCTTTGCTTTATAACTGAAGAAAATATGTTTTCAGTTTGCTTTCTTTTTTTTTTATCTTTTGTATCATATTTATTTTAAAGATAATTTCAGGATTGACTAATCTCTCTGCTATTAGATAGGTACTGTATACATTTCTGAATATCAATTATTTGATTATATTCTAAGGTAAAAATAATAAGCAATACCATTTCCATCATCTTTAAAATACATTTCACTAAATATAATGGATAGGAGCGAAAATGACTAAGAGTAAAGCGTATTTTTTCTTTTAGCAGAAGGAATATTTATTAAAATAATTATCAATAATAAATTAAATTTGTATACCATCAAGTTTCGAAAATTTTCACTGTCTAAAGTATTATTACAGTTTTTGTTCAATGTTAAAAATTTAGCGTCTATATGTTCCAGAACCTTTTAATAATGAATTGGAATCAGATGATTTTGTTGCAAAAAAAAGAGTGAACTTTAGAGAACAAAAGTACTCATTGCTAATATCTGACAAGTTTCATCATTTATCGAATTCCCATAGTTCAATAGTGATTTTAATTACGGTGAAATTTAATAATTAAAGACGATTTGTGAAAAACGTTCTAAAATTTAGAAAGCAAAGAAGAAACAACAGGCAGCTGATAGATTTCATTCCATCTCCTCCTCCTTCTCCTCCTTCCTCCTCCTCCTCCTCCTTCCTCCTCCTCCTCCTCCTTCTCCTCCTCCTTCTCCTCCTCCTTCTCCTCCT